GCAGCGAGTAGGAGCAGCCGCAGTACTCCTGCTTGTAGAAGCGCTGCTCCGCGTTGATCCGGTACTTGCGCGCGGTCATCCCGTCGGTCTGCCAGTCGTACACCCAGTAGTACGGCCGGAAGCCGTGCTTGGCGGCCGCCTGCAGCCCCGACGCGTTGACCTGCTTCATGTCCTTCCAGCGCGAGGTCGCGTTGGTCGTGGTGAAGCAGTCGAAGCCGTGCTGCGACGCGTACTCCGCCGTCACGTCCATCCGCATGTCGAAGCACATGCTGCAGCGCCGGCCGCGCTCGGGCTCAAACTCGAGGCCGCGCGCCCTCCGGTGGAACTCGTCCACGTCGTAGTCCGCGTCGACGAAGGCGATGCCGAGCTCCGCCGCGTACCGCTTGTTCTCCGCCTTGCGGATCTCGTACTCGGCGCGCGGGTGGATGTTCGGGTTGTAGAAGAAGATGGTCACCGAGTGACCCCCCGACACCATCTCCTCGATCATCGCACCCGAGCAAGGCGCGCAGCACGAGTGCAGGAGCACGCGCCGCGGCCCTGCGTCCTGCCCCCCGGTCGGCGGGGCGGCGGAGGAGGAGGCGCCGCCGCGCCCGCCGACCAAAGTGTCGTCTGTCCCGCTGCTCAGAGGGCGCCGCGTGCCTCGCAGCAGCGGCGGAAGCCTCTTCGCTGCGGCCCGCGGGAATGCCCTCGAGGCGGCGGCGCGAGCGAGCGGTGTGTACGCGACGCGTGCCGGTCTCATGTGCATGGCGATGAGAAGTGAGCAGGCACAACGCAGCTAGCGCTTCATGCATTTCTTTTCGCCGGCAGACGGTGAACGAGCTAGCGTGCGGGGACAGCGGCATTGTGCACGGTGCTAAGTGCATTGCCGTTCTTAACGGAGTCGCTTAGGCGGCTCCGGTGGTGTGCCGGTGATAGTACTAGCACGCGCCAGTTCGCACCTGTGTCGAGCCTGTGTGCTGTGAGAGAGAGTTCTTTTGTTTAAATTCTTTTCGCCGCCGTCACTAGTTTGGGAAGGCCGCGAGCCGTCTTTTTACGTGGTTGCAACCCTAGTTTTGCACTGTGCTGTGAATCGAGCGGCAACCAACAGCTCTGACCCCCCGGTGCTGGGGTGCTGCCAGCAACCAACCAACTCACCGGCGAGCGGACGGAGCGAGCCGAAGTGCGAAGAGCTGGGGCCAAATACGTGAACTGGCTGTGAACGTCAACGCCGCCCGCAGCATCGAGCGGCACGTCCTCCCCACAACCAGCGGCGTGCATTGCACCTAGGTCGTCGGCTTTGCCGACGGGCGACGTGCACGGGACACAGGGACGGGCGAACCACGTACCCGAACAAGCATGATCCAGTTCCAGAGAACGGGGCGTTGTACATGGTACGGGACCTGGGGCAGCAACCAACAACCTGGATGGGGACGGGGTGCTGCGCAACCGACGCCAACCAGCAGCGTTCACAGCACAGTGCGAAACTAGGGTTGCAACCTGGTAAAAAGACGGCTCGCTGTGTGGTTGGCCGGTCGCACTCCGCCGGTTGGAAAGAAAACGTACGTGACACACTCCGCCGGTGCGCCCGGCCAAAGTCGGCCGCCGCTTTCGGTGCAGCTCATGGCCGGCATCGCCGCTGGCTCGTCCGTATGGGTGCGCGGCGGCCCAAAGGAGGAGGTCTTTTCGCCCGCCGTCGTCCAGTCCTACGAGCGC